GGAAGAGTTAAGAATCCAATCAAAAATGGATGAAAATATTAATCTATAGCCATAAGACCCACCCAAAGGAAGGTCCTTTCCTAGTTCACCCCGTGAACATGAATTTCTTATTTTCTCCATCACACTTAGATGACAGAACAGTTAAGAAATATAAGTACTACAAAAATCACATAGAATCAGTTCATGGTGAATGTAGAGTCTTAATGAATAATGGATTTTGTATGCGTGCGTCTGTGTGCGCGCGTGCATATAGTAGAAAAGAACGAACTTGACTCCGTATTACACCTGTTCCTTTGACTTTTACCCCTGTGCCCTGTTCCCTAGGCTTAGTCTTGCTGGCTCTGCACTCATGTAAAGACAACAAGTTGCAGAATAGAACGTAACATTTGTTTTGTTGGAGGTTTTGCAGGAACAGGATGAGCTGACCCACGTGGACAGCTGCGCTAGAAAGAATTCCTGCACCAAGAAGTTGCAACAACCAACCACACACACCGCCCCCACCCTTTTTTTTTGTATAAAAGTAGCCTGTGTTCTGATTCTGATTGGAGCAGGATAGCTCTGCAGGACATTAGTCTGCCATCCTCTGGGTCTGCCAGCTTTCCAAATACAGTCGCTATTCCTCGCCCCAACACCTCGTCTCCCGGTTTACTGGCCTGTCACATGGCGAGCAGAACGAGTTTGGACAGGATAACAATTTTACACCATGAATGGTTAACTATAATGACAACTCCCCACAGAAGACAGTTGTACATACTGACAAAATGTTGCTTTCCTCTCAACAGACTATGGAAAACACATTGCTTCTTCACTACAACCTTTGACTTTCAATAATTTTGGCTTAAAATAATTTGCAATTTGGAAATACACACACATACACAAACGTATCTTGCTAGCTCAGTTCAGGGAAAGCAAGAGTAATTCATAGAAACAAAACAAAAATATGTTTTCAAAATCACAGATGATTACGCACATTCATTTATTTGAGATACAATATTACAGAGACACTACACAGCAGTGGTTTTCAAACATTTTGTTTCCTGGGATACCTTGACACTCCTAAAATTTATTCAAGACTCAAGAAAAAATTGTATGTGAATTACATCTAACCATATTTACTGCATGAAAACTAAGAGGGTTTAAACAAATATGAATTACTTTGTAAAAAATAACAAGTTTTATGATGACAGATATCATACTTTACAAAAAAACCCACAAAACTATTTTCCAAAAAACAATTAGTGAGGACAATGGCACCGTGTAAATTTAGCAAATCTCAGTATCTAGCTGGAAAGATTCTTCTATCTGCTCTGCATTCAGTCTACTGTGGTATCACAGGGCAGGTCGCCTGTAGAAAACCCAACTGTACACTTGGAAGAGAGTGAGAGTGAAAATGGAAATAACATCGCCTTCTTATGAAAATGGCTTAGACCTCAGAGATCCCTCTACAGGGCACTGGGAACCCCCAGGGTGCCCCAGAGCACATTTTAAGAACCGATGCTCTGCAGAGCTGTGTGCAATGGCCATCCTTTCAGACACTGGGCACTTACACATCTCCATGCCTTCGTCATCATTGTCCACGGCAGGTTTGTCACAGGACTTGTTGATGGCAGCTCTGAAGTTCTCACTGCACCCCCTTCCTCAGATAATCCTCAGCCACGGGTGGTGGAAGGGGACACCCCATTCAGAGTCTCCTCGGTGACTGCCATCTGCAGACTCTCTAAAGAGCTCGACTTCTTCAGAGCCAGGGTAGCCCCATGGGTCTGCTGGGGAAAACCTGGAGGTGTGCAAAGACAAAATGTCATTAGAATCAGTGGTGAAAATGACACACCCGAGTAGCTATGAATTGTGGGAAACATCATGGACATGAATGAATTTATATGTTCGATGTCAACTTCTGGACTGTGGCTGGCAAGATATAAAAGGTAAAAGAACAGTCAATCATTTTAAGTTTGCCCAAATATATATTAAATGTGGTCTGTTTTCTTTATTTTTTGTAGGAAAAACTGTTAACATCCATTTACTGGTCAACAGATGAAATCTTTGTCAAATCATTTGCTCCAAGTTGCATCAATAATCTGAAAGAACCAGAATAACCCAGAGGCTGGTGTGAAAAGCAGGGAGGAGGAGAGCTCAGGGACGTGACCAGGAGAAGCTTTTCAACTTGGCTGATACCATTTTTTGGCAGTTTAAAGTTACTGACGACAGAAGGTAAACTCTCATCTAAACGTGCTTCAGGCAGCCTCTTTCTCATTACAGTCAGGTTCACTCAACTCAGCAAATAAGAAAAGCACAAGAGACCACATGTCACCAGTGATATCAGGGCACTCTGGCTCCAGGTGGAACCTAATTCTGGAAATTGGACACATTCTCTGGGAAGAGCAATACAAGATGTGACCAGGAAGACACCAGGTGAGTAGTTTGTATCTGAATCACTATGCTGTACACCAGCAACTAACAGGACACTGTAAACCAACCATACTGCAATTAAAAAAGAAAAGAGAAAGAAAGAAAGAAAGAAACTATGTAGGGGCTGTCTCTAGGGAGAAGTACAGGAGGGAAAACCAAAGCTGGATGAGGACTTAGACGCCCAGGCCTGTGAATAACGTCTGCTTGAGAAATGGGGGAGGGACAGGGGAGGAAGAGCAGCAGTGAGCGCGAAGGCGTCAGCAGGGTGGACGGCAGGGGCGACTCAGAGGATTAAAGCTTGGGCTTGGCTCCTGGAGGACCCAGCTGCACCAAGCGTTAGTGGACAATCGAAATGGATTTCTTTTTTTTTCTTTGTAATTTTCAATTCCAATTTATTGACTGGTAGGCCACAGAGATTACTCTCACATGAATTAAGACATGATACTCTCAAGCAGATTTTGTTTTGGTGGTATGCATTTGGTGATTTGCATATACAATGATATTTACTCTATTTTAAAATATTATATTGGACTTTAAAATGGATATTTTTTAAAACCGAAGTACAGTCAGTTACAGTGTGTCCATTTGTGGTGTACAGCATGATGTCCCAGTCATGCATATACATGCATATATTCATTTACATATTCTTTTTGATTAAAGGTTATTACAAGATACTGCACATAGTTCCCTGTGCTATA